TTCAGCGTTATTTTGTTATCGTTTTTATCGTTAACTTGGTTTTCCTGGGTCTTTTCACGTGTGTTATGAATAAATATTTTTTTCGGTACCGGTACTAGTTTTATTTTGTTGTATTTATCCGCAACACCTTAAAGGCCAGCCCGTGAAAATATTGTCGGGCATAAACCGGTCCGTGGCGCAAAAAAGGTTGGGGACCGCTGGTTTAAACCATAGGTCTTTGCGCAGTTAACTTCACTTAAACTCTAAATGACATTTATCCATCTTGATCTTGACCAAATCTGATTCTAAATCCATCTAAAATTGCATTCGATACTCACTCATACTTCCACGGCAATCTATAGTGTTTGGCGTCCACTTAAATAAACAGACCAAAAGGTTCTTTTCGGATATTAAGAGGCCTTAAAGGTATTGATCAATTAGGATTAAACTGTGGACCACACAGTGAAATGGTTCAGCTAATAAGGGCCATGGGGTCAAAAGCAAGGTAATGCTTGTGGGGGTCAACTAATTGTCTCAAACAGCCTCCTGCTATTATTGCACCTCAGTTCACTCCACAATTTAGGATGCCAATCACGCAGGTGTGTAGAGGGCAATGGATCAAGGGAGCTGTGTAAATGCTCGCTTGACTGATGACTGAGAGAGACATGAGGAGGACACAACGAATTATCGCATCATACTGGTAGGTTACATGTCAATTGCTGTCTGTCACAGGTTACAATAGCTGATACGGAGATTGAAAGAAAATTAATCGACAAAATATTTTCATAATCAGCTCCCTTTTTTCTTCAATAAATGGTTTAGGCAACGAAGATTACCGAATGAAGGACATTTTCCCCTATTAATGTCACTTGGCTCGACCAAATGACTCAAGAAAGAGATCAGGAGCTTACTCGGTAATAAATAGTCAATACAGCGCTGTAGGTTAGATGAAGATAAAAACTGGATCAAAGAGGACATTTGACATAACAAAGCTTAGTTTGATCAGAAACTAGGCCACATCTGAAAACATTTGCTAACTTGCCAACTAATGAGAAAGATTACATTTTCTTGTTTTCTTCACAAGTAGCAAAGTTTGGCTCATTAAACTGTCAGCACGATGCACAGACACTGATGAAGATGGTGGTTAGTGACGGAGGCACAATTGCTAGTTACAGTACAATGGCACTTCTGCAAGAACGAGGACGCACAGGTGTAAGTTGAGGCAAACATTGTTGAGATAAATACTGTAAGCATCCTTGTATATGGTAATTTCTCATTATCATTTCCACAGAACTTTTCACAGCTTGGCAGCTGCAGTGACTGAATGCTGATAGTGTTTGCTATTGTGCTGTATTGAGTGTATTTTTTGTTTTTTTTTTCCCCCTCGCTGCATAGGGACTGGAGATGACTTATCGGAAGTTTATATTTGTACGGCATATTAAATTAAATTGAATTAAATTAGAATTCAAGTTGTAAGCTTCCTACATTGATGAAATCTGCTGCCGTTCTGTCATAACATGTCCCTCAGGATCATCATAACAAAGAAAGGGTCTTTTGCAACTCTCTGTGCCACAGTGAATCTGCTGAAATGATTAAATCAGAAGGCGAAAGCAAATCATCTCTCAATTTATCGCCACACATGAGGTATGCGATGAGATGAACTTCATGACCGGCATTAGACTCGTAGGCTTTTATCAACTTGACAATATTTGGAGCATCATTTGTCATCAGCATGCCAATTCATTCTAAAAGCTTCCTGAGTGAACAATACAAAACAAAAAAAACAACAG